TGCAGGGTCTGCTGGCTGGGTGCTGGCAGGCTTGCACCTGGCACGGGCACCGTAGCCAGCCCATGCCCCTTTAAGGGCTCCGGGGCCAGGAGGGGGGCAGAAGAGTTTCCCTGGTGGTGCCCAGAGTGGACACCAGGGAAAGCTGGGGAGGGCTAACCTTCCACTAGTTCAAATTAAATGGCTACACAGCCCTTAATTCGAACTAGTTAATTCGAACTAGGCGTTAGTCCTCGTAGAATGAGGTTTACCTAGTTCGAATTAAGCGCTCCGCTAGTTCGAATTAAGTTCGAACTAGCGGTTTGCATGTGTAGCGCCTATCAAAGTTAATGCGAACTAACGTCTGTTAGTTCGCATTAACTTTGTAGTGTAGACATACCCGTAGATAGAAAGGATCACAAGACTCACTCCAGAGTAAGGTAAGCAGCAAAAGGCGGCAACTCACCCAGGGAACCTGAGACTACATTAAAGGAAATGGTGCAAAAAAACCCTTAAAGACTGCTATATGGGAATTAGCCAATGCATTAAAAAAAACACCTTGGGGCAGCCCCACTGAACACAATTATAGTGTCACTCTCCTATATGGGTTTTCTGATGCGAGACAAGCTGTGAACTAGAACTGAAGCCTTTCCTGCACTCAGGGCATCGGTAGGGTCTTTCTCCAGTGTGGATTCTCTGGTGTATGACAAGCTCTGAGCTCCGAATGAAGCGTTTTCCGCACTCACAGCAAGCGTAGGGTCTCTCCCCGGTGTGGGTTCTCCTGTGGATGATAAGCTCAGAGCTCCGGCTGAAGCTTTTCCCGCACTCAGGACAAGCATAGGGCATCTCCCCAGTGTGGATCCTGTGATGCGTGGCAAGGTTTGAGCTCCGACTGAAGCTTTTCCCACACTCAGGGCATGTGTAAGGTCTCTCTCCAGTGTGGATTCTCTGATGTGTGATAAGGTTTGAGTGCCAACTGAAGCTCTTCCCACACTCGGGGCACATGTAGGGTGTCTCCCCCGTGTGGCTTCTCTGATGTGTGATCATCTGTGAACTATCACTGAAGCCCTTCCCACACACAGGGCATGAGTAGGGTCTCTCCCCTGTGTGGATTCTACGATGTGAGACAAGATGTGAGCTATAGCGAAAACCTTTCCCACACTCAGGGCATCGGTAGGGTCTCTCTCCAGTGTGGATTCTCTGGTGCTTACTAAGATCTGAGCTGCGAGTGAAGCCTTTCCCACATTCAAGACATATGTAGGGTCTCTCCCCTGTATGGATTCTGTGATGTCTGATAAGCTCTGAGCTCCGGCTAAAGCTCTTCCCGCATTCCAGGCAAGCGTAGGGTCTCTCCCCGGTGTGGGTTCTGTGGTGTGTGATGAGGTTTGAGCTTCGGCTGAAGCTTTTCCCACACTCAGGGCATATGTATGGTCTCTCTCCTGTGTGGGTTCGCTGATGTGTAGCAAGCTGTGAACTATGACTGAAGCTTTTCCCACACACTGGGCATGAGTAAGATCTCTCTCCTGTGTGGGTTTTCCAATGTGAGACAAGCTGTGAGTTAGAACTGAAGCTTTTCCCACACTCAGGGCATGAGTAGGGTCTCTCTCCAGTGTGGATTCTCCGATGTGAGACAAGCTGTGAGCTAGAAGTGAAGCCTTTCCCACACTCAGGGCATGGATAGGGTCTCTCTCCAGTGTGGATTCTTCGATGTGTGACAAGCTGTGAGCTATAGGTGAAGTCTTTCCCGCACTCATGGCATTGGAAGGGTCTCTCGCCAGTGTGGATTCTCTGGTGCTTATTAAGTTCTGAGCTCCGAGTAAAGCTTTTCCCACACTCACTGCAAATGTAGGGTCTCTCCCCAGTGTGCATTCTCCTGTGGATGATAAGCTCTGAGGTCCGGCTGAAGCTTTTCCCACACTCAGGGCAAGTGTAGGGTCTCTCTCCGGTGTGGATCCTGTGATGTATGATAAGGTTTGAGCTTCTGCTGAAGCCTTTCCCACACTCAGGGCATGGATAGGGTCTCTCTCCAGTGTGGATTCTTCGATGTGTGACAAGCTGTGAGCTATAGGTGAAGTCTTTCCCGCACTCATGGCATTGGAAGGGTCTCTCGCCAGTGTGGATTCTCTGGTGCTTATTAAGTTCTGAGCTCCGAGTAAAGCTTTTCCCACACTCACTGCAAATGTAGGGTCTCTCCCCAGTGTGCATTCTCCTGTGGATGATAAGCTCTGAGGTCCGGCTGAAGCTTTTCCCACACTCAGGGCAAGTGTAGGGTCTCTCTCCGGTGTGGATCCTGTGATGTATGATAAGGTTTGAGCTTCTGCTGAAGCCTTTCCCACACTCAGGGCATGTGTAGGGTTTCTCTCCCGTGTGGGTTCGCTGATGTATGAGAAAGACTGAATTATGTTTGAAGGTTTTCCCACAGTCAAGGCAGGTGTAGTGTGTCCCTTCTGGGCTGATTTTTTCATGTCTAATAATGTGAGAGCCACTCCTAAATTTTTTTTCTGCTCTGTGCTGATTCTGACAGGCTTCTGTCTGTGCACCACTACAGGACACATCCCTTTTTGATCTTTCTAATACTGTGCCAGGTGGTTCTATTTGCTCAGCATCTTCTTGTTGAAGACTATTTTCCTTGTGCTCATTCACCATCCCACCAGTTGCTGAAATAAAGAGAGAAAATAGATGTAAATCACTCCCTTTGCCAGAGGAAAAAGGAAACCTCAGTGAGGGTACGTCTACACTACAACGTTAATTCGAACTTAGTTCGAATTAGTTAATTCGAACTAAGCTAATTCGAGCTAACGGATCCAGATTAAAAAACTAATTCGAATTAGCATTTTGCTAATTCGAACTAGCATGTCCACATTAAGTGGACCCTGAACCAGGCTTAAGGATGGCCGGAAGCAGTGCCGGCAGGGCATCAGAGGAGGACTTAGAGCGTGGAGATGCTGTCTCAGGCTAGCCGAGGGCTGTGCTTAAAGGG